AATCCCAAGGAAAGGGTTTTGTTATTATTATTTTTTTCAAAATCAACAAATTTATATGTTCAATGCTAAATTCTGTATAAAGATAAACCATTGTCAACACCTTAATAGAAAACACTCGCAAAAGCGACTGCTATGGTTATCCTAAAGAGTCACTCTCACAACTTGGGAGCCAGTTCTTAACTATGGCACAACTGATTTATCCTTAGTTGTGTTGTGGAGAGTTTTTTTTTTTTTTTTATAGAAAACAGAACATATTGTATTAAAATAAAAGCGTAATAACATGAAAGGTGGTTAGATAAGATATCCAACCACAAAAAAGCAAAAATACAATGAGAGGCAAAAATATAAAAAGTCTATAGATCACATGAGGCTTTGCATCGCGATAAAATAGCAATGAGTAGGATTCCTTTGAAATCTTTAGAAATTGAAACCCAAAATGACGAAATAAAATAAATCCGATCCAATTATCCATCCAAACACTCATACCGATCTTCAAAGATTCTTGCATTCCTCTTTTTTCATATAACCCAAAAAGTTGTCATGATCGCATAATTCCAAAGAGTGACACTCTTATCAAGAGACCCAAGTCTTTTCAAGTTTTCCACAAACAAAGAATTGGATGATATGGAGGAACCCATTTCAAATCCACCAAGTTATGCAACTTGTACCACAAAGACAAAGTAAGAAGGCAATGTAGAAATAAAGGGTCAATACTTTCATAATAATCTTTACACATCAGACGCCACTGAGGAGAAAGGCAAGTATTATGCCTCATTTTCTAAAGCAATTCATTAGTATTAATCTTCCCAAGTGCAACAGTCCATGCAAAAACTTGAACCTTAACAGACACTTTTGCCTTCCAAATCATCACAGCAAAAATAAAGGGGGGACAAGAGTCATTTGATAAAAGAAGTCTTGGGATGTATTCTCCTCTAAATCTTCTTAAGGAATCTTACTATGGAAATGTAGGCACAAACAACTCCACAAATGGAAACCACAATATTGATTGGAAAGAAGCTCAATTTCAAACAATGTAGTTGATCGTATTCACTTGTGGTACCCATGCAAGAGGTCCCAACTCCCAATTATTCACTTGCGTAGTTTTCAATCAATGGATTAGAGTGGTCTCACGTTGACATTAGGTGATGCTATTTCAAGTTTTCTGTGTGTATATTTCTCTTTGCGAAGCTGACTTAAGTAGTATGATCCTACTCCACGGCCGTGGGAGTTAATTTTTAGTGATGCACTGCTAGATGACAAATTTCAGTGTTTTATGGCTGCTACCACCACTTGAATAGTCTAGTGTCATATCTTTGTCATTTGTGTTCATATTTTGTTCCTCCAAACTCTACATTTTTTGGTCCTTTTTTTTCCTTAACAGTTAGCTTTTTTGTTCTCATTTTAATTGGTAAGTTCTTTCACTTTCACTTTCCTTCTTTATCAACAAATGATGGAAGGACTCGATCCCTATGTCCTACCATATACAAGCATTGTAAGGATACGTTTGCTTGAAGGCTCCTGAAGTTTCATACTTCCTTTTTCAACCTTTAAGTTTCCCTCTCCCATAAAGTTTCTATTCCCATTGCCATATCTAGATTGGTTTTACATTGCGACAAGGTTGAATTGGCAATTTAATTGCACATTCAGAGTTTACTGATCTCTCCGTTCTCCCATATATTTAGCGGACTCTAAATTCTAGAAACTTTTGGTGTAAAACAATGCCAAAGCATAGTGCTAGGCACAGTTCTACAAATAGTCAAATAGATTTGTTTTTCAGATCTCGTTTTGTTTGCTATGCTGGAGTATGATAATTGTATAGGGTGTTTTGGGGGTTGTCATGGTGCATTCTTCTTCAATCCTCCCTTCTTCTCATTCCTCTGAATCTACCCGTACTTTATGTTGTACATTCTGGTTAGCAATCATTTTAATAACTACTTCTCTCCCTTAGGAACACAAATTAGGCCATGCAAACTATGCTTTGAAAGTTCAGGTCAGAAATGATGCCTAATCTTGTATTTTAGGTCGGAGGACTAATGCTTTATAGTTTAGTTGTTGTCTTCACTTCCCCTTTTGTTGGTTATAATTTGGATGAGCTTGTAAAGATGTTGTCTTCTCCGTCCGGGATAAGACTAGTTGCTTAAAACTTACTTTTTTGTTAATCTAGTAAAAGTAAATTTACAATTCAACGTGATGAAGTGTCGACAAATTAGTATTTTTTTGGTTGAAACTTAACCGTGTGGGGTTCTATTAAGTTTTTTAAGTCATAACGTCACCCAATGATTTATTACTAATCCATATATTATACTTCATGCTCTGGATACGGATTCTTCCTTCAATATTGTAGTCCTCCCCCTCCCCCTCCCCCTCCCCCATGGGCCATTATAATACAATCCATGGTTTTTGGAAGGTGCATTTCTGTTGCTTAAACTATTGTGGTGTACTCATCTGATATATGTTCTGTTCAATTTTCTTCCTGGATCATCTGTCGTGCATTTAAGTTAGACTAATTGTTTATAAGTGAGCCCTCGTATATATGATCTGTCAAGAAAAAAATTAAATAAAAAAAAAGGGGGTATTGGAGGAAATCTGAGTTCCATCGTATTATTATATGTGCTCCCACGTTTTGTCGGCATATGATGGCATGTATTCTTGTGCCCATCCTTTCATACATCATTCATTATCCCCTTCCCTTCCCTCTCACCCACCCCACTGCCATAGTTTCTATCAATCTGGACTGATTGATAATTGGCCTCATGTTTGTAGGCCATGTATATATACAACCTCGAAATCTCCATTTTCTTTGTAGTTAAGCTTGACGTTGAATCTCTATTTTTCCCTTGTTTATTTAATCTACCACTTCATCTCCATTTTCTTTTCTTTTCTTTTCCCTTCAATGTATAAGAAAGATAAGGGGAAAAATAATTCAAGCCCAGATTGCTAACACTTTGACAATATATTGTCATGAAATACTGAATTTAATTTTGAATGGGTGAGCTGGCTTAAAAGCTCAGTTTTAGTTTTTTTTTTTTTTTTTGTCGTTTCAGAGGAAAAGAAGTTTGATATGTTTAGATTTGGACTTATTGGACAACTTTTTATTAACTTTTTGAACAAAAATAGTTTATCAGTACCAAGGAAAAAATTTAAAGATGGAGCTTATCTAAGGGATTCCAAGAAAAACCGGTTATTAGAAAACATTCCAAACGGTTCCAAATTTTTTTAATTTTGACTTATTTATTTTATTTTTCAAACTTCTATTCTATACCCGAAAAAGTCAATTCTAAATGAATTTAATATCATATTTATTTTTTTTGTCCCATAAAAAGTTATCATATATGAAGATTATTATGTTCTATTGTATTATAATATTTTTTTCATTATTAATAATTATAAAAATAAAATAAAATTTACAGCTCAAAGTTATTTTTTAATATAATGACTTTTTACTTTTTCTTAATTGCTAAGCGGCGCAATAACGATATTTTGCTTATTCTTAAAAGAGAATTATACAAGATCTCTTGAGATTTGTCACTTAATCACTTAAATTTTTTGACATTTAAAATATTACACACCGAATCCCTGAGATTTGTACATGTATAAAACTTACACCTTTGGTGTAAATATATCCGTTAATAAATTATATTTACCCCTTAAAAGTTTGCGAGTATGTAATACTTAGATCCTTTAAGTTTAAAATATTATACTTAGACCAAAAATACTTTAATTAAATATAGAATATCAAATATTTTAAATTTTACAACTAAAATTTATGTTTTATTGTATTATTTATTGAAATAAAATTACAAATAAAAATTTATTTTTTTCTTAAAAAATTGTAATTAGTATACAATTATATTGTCTATTAGAATTTAATTTAGTCGTGTAAACAATCAAATTAAAATACCAAACTATCCCAATTAAATTTAAAAGATATTGTGTCAATTATAGTTTGATTCCTTGTTTAATTTTTAAGTTTTGTTTTGATAGATAGTGTATTATGAGTGACTTAGACCCATTTGTTTGATTTTTTTAGTTGTATTCTAATAGATAATATAATTGTATATTAATTATGATTTTTTTTTAAAAAAATTAAAATTTTATTTCAATAAATGATATAATAAAATATGAATTTTGACTGTAAAATTTAAAATATTTTATATTTTATGTTTGATTGAAGTATTTTTGATTTAAATATAATATTTTAAACTTAAAAGGTCTAAATATTATATACTCACAAATTTTAGAGGATTTAAGTGTTATTTATTAACGGATATATTTATAACATGAGCTTAAGTGTTAAGTGTTACGTGCTTACAAATTCAAGGGATTTGAATGTAATATTTTAATGGTAGAAGGTCTGAGTGATTAAGTGACAAACTTTAAGAGATCTTAATGTAATTTTTTCTTTTCTTAATCGCCAAGCATTGCAATGTAACTAAAAATAAAAATAGTAAAACCATTTAGTATAAAATAAAAGTGTTCATTTTTAATCATATCATATCATATCACATAGTTGTGATAAGTGATAGCTAAATAAAAAATGTATCAGATAACTGTAACGCTCCACGTGTCCACTACCAATTCCGTTTTTTTTGGTACTTAATGAAACCACGTGGCACGTATTATCAGACTTAACGGCTTATTGACGGAGATATTAATCTGCATTCTCAATTCAATCCGTCAACTTTAACGTCCGTCCAGCCTCGAATCTCTCAATTTCGGGCAGTACTACAGTACATTGTGTCCGAATCATGACCCTTGGTTGATGAGACCTTGGATCCGTAAATTTCCATTTTGCCGGTTCTGATTAAATCTTCCAATTCTCTCCCCTGTATAGATAGGCATAGCCCCTAATAAAGTTCTCACATACTGCAAACAGTGTTAAAAAACACACACACACAATCAGAGAGAGCCTATCTGTCTGTATATCTATCGGTTTCTGGACGTTTCGAATTGGAGGGTTTGGGTTTTAGATCGAAGGAATTTGAGAGAGAGAGAGAGAGATGGCGGAACATGAGGAATCGAAGGTTGAATCGGTGATGGAGAAGATAAGTGAGAAAATCCATGGTCATGATTCGTCGTCTTCATCGTCTGATTCCGAGGACGACAAGTCATCGTCGCTGAAATCAAAGGTTTATCGGATTTTCGGTAGAGAAAAACCTGTTCATAAGGTCCTCGGCGGTGGCAAACGTATGTCCATCGATCTTCATGTTCATTTTCGTCAATTTTTGAAACTATTTTTCTTTATCAAAAACTCTGTGCATAGCTTGGAAGTTGGCGTTTGGCGTTTCATTTATGTTGAAAATTGGTCGTTTGTGGATTCCATCCATTTTCTTCAAATTTATTGGCCATCTTTTGGTGGATTCACCTCCATTCAATTTCGCAATTAACATGATATTTTTGAACTTGAAACATAGTTTTTTTCAATTCTTGATTGTAATATTTCGTGCTTTTCTGTTGCTTTTTTCTTTTTAATTTTGTTTGTTTTTGCGTGATCTAGATCTGCTTGGTTAATTGGTCTTTTTAGGATATTCATATGCAAGTTGTTTTTATCAGTTATCAACGTTGGTGATGGGATTGGTTCCGAGAAAGTTTACTTTTATGTTACCTCAAGGTTAATGGAGTTTAACGTTGGTGATGGGATTGGTTCCGAGAAAGTTTACTGTTATGTTACCTCAAGGTTAATGGAGTTTAGTTTAAACTTTTTCAACAAGTTGAAACTCAACAACTATAAGAAAAGAGACACTGATAATTCTACACTGAAAGTACATTTTATCTAGAAACTTTGCTAATATCACTTTGCATCTCGAATTTTCATTTTGATCTACTGGTGTAGCGGCTGATTTGTTTTTATGGAGGGACAAGAAGATATCGGCAGGAATTCTAGGTGGTGCCACAGCCATCTGGCTTCTGTTTGAAATGATTGGTTACCATTTGCTCAGTCTAGTCTGCCATGGTTTGATACTTGCTCTGGCTATACTGTTTTTGTGGTCAAATGCTTCCACCTTCATCAACAAGTGAGTCGATTTGTTTTGTTGTCAAATCATCTCCTTCTATCTATGGTAGTGATCAAACTCTTACATGTACCTTTCGTTTTTTAGGTCTCCACCACGTATTCCAGAAGTTTACATTCCAGAGGAGCCTGTTCTGCAGTTTGCCTCTGCTTTGAGGGTCGAGATCAATCGGGCTTTTGCATTCCTGAGGGACATTGCATCTGGAAGAGATTTGAAGAAGTTCCTCTCTGTATGTTAATGTCTTTCACTTCTAAGAGTCAAAATTAGCAGCTATTATTGTAGTTGATGATAACATTTGTTTATGAATTTTTTAAACCTGCACCTACTCACTAGGAATTATTAACTTTAATGAAACAAGTTTATGAGTTGCATTACACCTTCTAATTTACAAGCTCGGTGTTTCTCAGTTTCAACTTATATGGATAATTTTAAGAAAGTAAATGGAGAATTGCATTATACAATTTTGTATGCAAGCTATGGGTTTTCTGTTCTAAAACTTTCATTTGTATTTGGACTGATTAGGGATGATGGCTTTTATTTCTGGATTCTGCATAACCATTCGATACATGTGTCCTATATTCTTAATCAGGTGATTGCTGTCTTGTGGGTCTTGTCAATTGTGGGCAGTTGCTGCAACTTCTTGACCTTGTTCTATATAGGTAATGTTATTATTCTGATTGTTTGAGTAGTAAGTTACTTCTAGTATCCTAGCTTCTAACCTTGTTTCCATGGTCTGTAAACAGCTTTTGTTTCGCTCCATTCGGTGCCTGTGCTGTATGAGAAGTATGAGGACCAGGTGGACTCATTCGCAGAGAAGGCAATGGTCGAGATCAAGAAACATTATGCAGTCTTTGATGTAAAGGTATTGAGTAAGATCCCCAGGGGTCCATTGAAAGACAAGAAGAAGGCTTAAGAGTGATGGAGGTATTAGCCATTACCTGGTTTTGAGAGGTTTGGTAGTTGTGTTTTATCAACTGTTTTCTTTTTATATCTATTAGTGAATAATATATCTTATTTGTCTAGTGTCTCTGGGTTTACAACTAGATTGGACAAGGACAATTCTATACTTGTGATGGGTGCTATTTTCATGAATTTCAGTAATTAGATGTGGGGATGGATGTTATTATGTGATCTGCATGTCAATCATATATTCCATTTCTATGATGGTTTGTTTCACAACGCTTTTATTGCAGTGAAATGGATGGCATCGTTCATCTGATGCTTTTGATAGAGAATTCAATTGAGCAGATTAGAGAAATGACACTTTTAGGAGCATCCTCTAGGAATATGAGTTTTTTTCGGCCATCCCTATATGGGAGTTTGTTGTGAGATATCATTTCCCATCATGCATGTTAAAGAGTTTGCGGAGCGTGTGGGAAGATCTTTACTTGAGGTGAATTTACACTTTTACTCGAGCCCCTTGTCAGCTGATAGATAACTGCTTTGGGTTGGGTTAAAAATGTTAAAAGGTTTGGTTGGATCGCTTACTATAAGAATATTGACGAAAATGATGATTACTAGGAATTGGGTCTCTCTTTTTTCCTGGACAAAGTTTAGGAATTGGTTTTTTACCACTGTTCCGGCTGATTGATTGCCGATGGTGTGCTGGTGTGCTGATGAACTCAAGCCCAACTAACATGAAGATGTGGTTTTAATTTATGGGCCAGGAAGCCCAATATTAAGCAAATGGCCTTGTCAGGCCCAGTGTGGTTGTATTTATGGACTCATTAGGCACAATAGTAAGCCTGATTAGCTCACTATGTGATTGAATTTAACATTGATGGGGTTAAACGAAATGGGCTTATAGGGCCCAATAATTAAATTAATGGTCTTGTCGGCCCCGATCTGGTCATGTCTATGGGTTCTGCAAGCCCAATGCAGTTGATGGTGTGCTGTTGGATTCAAGCCCAATATTAAAACCCAATTAACTTGCAGATGTGGTTTATTTATGGGCCAGGAAGCCCAATGTTTAGCAAATGGGCTGTACTGGCCCAATATGGTTGTATTTATGAACTCATTAGGCCCAATAGTAGCCCAACTAGCCATTGATGTGGTTGAATTTATGTCCCAAAAATAAGCCCACATTGATGGGATTAAATGAAATGGCCCTATAGGGCCCAATGTAATTAAATTAATGGGCTCAGAGCCCCAGATGTGGTTATATCTATGGGCTTATCAGGGCCAATTTTGTTGAATTTATTGGTCCACAAATTTAACCAGATAAATGGGTTAGTTGGGCTGAGTATTGGGCTTACTATAGTTTCTTGATTCTGCTAGGAGAACAGTGGAGCACCAACCCGGCCATACCACCAAATAAAAATGTACCATTATTTGACGTAACTTACCTTAGCTTTCAATAGATCGATACCATTGGCCAAACCCACAATTCAAGAAAAAGGGCAACGAGATGTCGAGAATTTCACTGTAGTTTGCGTACCAAGATGTGAAAATTTATAGAAGAGGTTGGAATTTGCAGAAGAGAACATGATTGTGACCCTGGGTCATTCACGGCTTCCTTGACGGGCTCTCTCTCCTATGGTCTCGTTTATTGTGTGAGAGAGAGAGAGAGACCCAAACCATTGTATTCAGTCCAATCTCTTAACGATGGCGACCTGTATAGTAAACCAAACATCAGCTAATATTACAAGAAAACAATCTTACAGAACCGTTCTAGTTTTTAGAGACGCGGGAACGTTAGTAAACAAAGTCTTTCTCAAGGTAAGTTTGTTTTTGTGTAGTCCTTTGTGACAACTACCCTCTTATAAGAAGTAAGATAATTGCTGCTCCTTTTTCCTTGAA